AAACCATTAAAGCATTAAAGCATTAACGATCAACGTTAAAAATTTTTATGATAATAGTTATTCATTTAAATTTTGCCCGATGATATTCAAATTTTGCCTTTTTGCACTAGTCGATCTCCTTTTACGTAAATTGACATTTTGCGGATCGATTTCTTGAATAGGTTGATCGGTTGCCGCACGTTTTAAAGCTGGTCTCTTGTTCAAAGGAGGAGGACTTATTGGTGTAGGATGAGGAAAAGAAATATCCGCAAATTGTTGTTGTTGTAATTGTTGCTGTTGTAGTTGTTGTTGTAATTGTTGTTGTTGTAGTTGTTGCTGTTGAAAATTAACAATAGCTGTCGAATCATCGTTAATAATTGCGGATTGTGATGGAGATCCATGATGATGAGGTAAATATTGATCGTTTGGAACATTAGAGAATTGAACAGGTATCGTGGTAAATTGATGATGAGGAAATTGATGATGAGGAGAATATTCTATAAAGGACCCTTCATTTCCGTCGGAGAAAGTATCGATCGAACCGATGTGCGAGTCTTGATTCAAAGAGTCAGTCCAAGACAATTGATTAAAGAATTGAGTAGCGTTAGAAAGACCAATGGCCCTTGCTTGCCGATAAGATTCCATAAACTTGATAATACCACGACAGTATTCATTGTCACCTTTTAATATATCTAAATCGATTTCTTTAACGAATTGATGGAATTTATTTAAAACGAAAGTAGTGGAAGGGGGAGAGGATTGATGAGGAGGTTGTAAATCATCTTGAGCAGGAGAAATGTTATCATAAGAGCTATAAAGATCATTATCATTATTCATACTTGATTCAAATTCCAGAGTATGCTGAGGAGTACTTTTCCCGCTTTCATCGCTTGTCGAACCGACAGAAGCAATCGAAGGCGTTTGTGGCGTAATATTTAAAGTTTCCAATGGATGATTATGATTATATAAAAGATGAACTTCACATGGATGAGAGAGATTAAGCCGACTTTTTTCAAGACGAATTTTTGCTAAACATTGACAATTCGTATTTCGACTTCTTCTTTGACCGGCCTTTTGAGCATAAGTTTTTTGCATGTATTTGATGGCCGCGATATCAGCGTGTCGACAATGGAAATCTTTATGATAAATGACCTTGATTCCCTTGACTTTATCTGCACGAGTGATACGAAAAACCGTTCCGGTTTTATTATGAAAGGCCGCTCTCCATTCTTCAATCGCTTCGGTTGATGCGATATTTACATAAAAGGTAGAATCAAAAGCTGCTGGAGGTGCTCCTTCGAATTTTTCAAGTTCAATTTCTTTATAAGATTTTATAATATACGTGTAACTATCAGGAAGCACTAATTGTAAATAATGTGGTAATTGATCATAAGTTCTTGGCGTCGGTCTACTGGTCATATCGGTTCTACTTTTTAACCGATCTTGAAGACGTTTCTGTAATTCTAAGCGAGACGAGAGATTATCATTGGAGGACGACATTATTCAGTATG